GAATACTATAAATTTCTAAGTCTATGTTGTTCATTTAACTAATGTATTTGTGAAATCTTGTCAAACATTCAGATTCCACTTGTATTCAGGATAATGTTGAAGATTTGTTGGTAGCAGTCAAGGTCATTCACATGAATAAACTTGATAGCCCTTCATCAAAACATGGTACCTGTCCAACAACAGAACTCTGGGCCCTTATGGTTATCTTTACATCTGTGATCCTTATTATTTTGAGGGTTCGTTATAAAGGTCATTCATCAAGTATGCTGCATGTCCATTTTCAGTATCCTAAACCTTTGGGTGTTTTATCAGAAGTCATTTGAAGATTTCAACACATTTGACCTCTGTTTGAATGTTGGTCAAGGTCATTCTTTTGAATAAACTTGATAGCCAGGCGTTCAATCCAGCATGTTACTTGGCCCAATACCTTGACCTTAACCCCATCAGTTATCAGAAATTAGAAGACTTTACCCTTAGTAACCTTAAAAGTGTATCAATTAAAAAGTTCAGTGCATATAATTCATTTGAAAAAAAAAAGAAAATAAATGAATTAAAAAACCTAACATTTATTGGTAAGTGAAAAAAACAAACTACAGTTCAATCTTGTTCTCTCATCTGTGGGAAAATTTTGAGTTATCTGAGTATTCAATCTAAGTAATTATCAAATGCTTTGTGTAAAGTTAGGCTGGACTGACGAAAAAGTTAGAATCATACCAGGTATTCGAGTTCAAAGAATTTGAGATAACGACGTTCACCTGACTTCAGGTTAGAATATGTTGATGAGCTCTAATCTATACAGGGATGGTCACATCAGATACAAGATAAATGCCACAAGTATTGAAGTGTAAAAGAACTCCTACGGTGAAAGTGTGACAACAAATTCAAATTGAAACATACATACTTTTACACTTAGGTAATAAATAGTATGTATAGATACATAATCGATACATACTGACTTTCACATTTGGGTAATAAACACAGTCGAACCTAAGTGGCCTTTATAGAGAGGTGGCCTCTTAATTGAGGTTCCTTATTTTCGAACCCAAGTTGCGGCAATTTGCACATTGACATTTGAATACAGTTTAATAATAAGATATAAAACATCATCTGTTATTATTTATTATCTTGTTAGCATGTAATTTGAAGACAGACCAATCTTTATTTTATGACACAACTATAAATACAAAAGAACAAAATTGAAAGGAAGGCATGTACAAGTCTGTAGGAATGTTCACGTGGTGAGGAAACATGACTTGCAGTCAAGAAAGCTTGTCAAATGACTTGCGGACAAAACGGCTGTTTAAACGAGGTTCGATCGCGAGTTTGGGGACGAAAAGGGTGGCTGCTGGCTGCGTTAGACAGGTGGCCGTTAAATTAGGTATCATTAATGAGCAAAAACGATTGGGAGGGTCTGAAAACGCTGTTATAAGCAGGTACCCATCTAACTAAGATGGCCGTTACGACAGGTTAGACTGTAGTATGTTAAAATAGTATGTATTGATTTAAATTGGTTTTATATCAAAGATAGGTGATAAGTGAGTTCCAACAACTATCTCTCTGTACATTTTCCATGAATTTAGAATTCTGTACTCTAATTTTAGATTGAACAGAAAGCAATTTTTTTAACAATTGATGAATTCAGTTCACAAACACAAGGTGACAAATCTGACATCCAAGTTATCACATTTAAGTGATCATTGCATGAAGTGAAGAAAAACAACCACAAAACAAAATAATTAGGCTTGTAAGAATCAATACTGTGATTAGTGTTCTGAATGAACCTGAGTGTGTACGAGCCGACACCTTTGTTCAATGTTGCATCTTGGATCTTCTCCTAAAATCAAATCCATGTGTATATTATCTAGGTCCATGACTAAGTCGACTTGTGGGGTGGCAGGTGGGGGTGAATTTTTTTTGACAGGTCAACATACTTACTTTCGATGTAATTTAAAATCTGAGAGTTACAGATTTAATTTTTTTCATATAATTTTTGAAGATTTGTTATCAGATCTGTGAGGTTGATAAATACCTGGCAGTGAAGACGAAGTGGTACAGCAACATATCTTTCCCTGATTCAGTTATGTTTCAAGATATTTTCATTGTCAAAAAAAAATTACACCAAATTTGTATTGTACTTGAGTAAAAGTAAAAGTATGTAGAGAAAAAATGTCCATAATGTACCAATACCTCTTGATGCTGTTGTAAGTTGTGAACTTATATAGCTATAAACACATCCAAGCTTAATTACTCAGTCTCTTTTAAAGAAGGCCTGTATCTGTTCTTGATCACACTGTGATGTAACATGCAATATCTTCCCGAGATACATCACACACAATTTAGCCCGGTTACTGTGACCTTTAACCTTGATCAAGGACAGCCAAAATAGAATTTGGTGTATAGAGCTATATATTATGATTTTATAGTTTTCGAGGAAAATTCTTGGCATTTTAATTGAAAATACAGAAGATGTTTCTGGGCATACAACCAAGCTTGGTCTTAATACCAGGACAAAATAAGTGATACATCAAAAGTGCTAAACTTAAATACTGTCTCGGGGGGGGGGGGGGGGGGGGTGGGGGGGAAACTCATTCATCTGCGCTGACATACTCACATCCTTGGGCAGGACTTTTTACCTTAAGAATTGCTCTAGATTCTAGATGACATGTACACAAAAACCTCCCCCCCTCCCTTTCCCCTATTCCCCCTTCCTCTCTTCCCAATATAACATTCAGTAAAATAGCCACTACAACTACTACAAACAAACTACACCTTGAAATGTCTGACTTACACAAGGCTACAAAAGGTGAAAATAAACACTGGTATAAAGCTGAAATATGGCCAAGATAACCGAGATTAGTTTTATCTTCTACAGGAAAATTTTTCCTTCATCAAATTTCTAACAGGAAGTAATTTTTCCATCGAGTGATAGATTTATCTCTGAAGTGTTCATTTACTGTTGACATTTAACAATATATACAGTAGTGGTAACACAAATTTATAAAAAAACTTTGTGTGCACATTGTACATACATCATGGATATATCATGTCCGCACACATGATACAGAATCTTACACACACCAATGCTTTGTTATCACAGTTGGCTAATATCACAGATTGAAAATTGAAAAATAGTTATCACAGGCATAAAAATATTTATCACAGGCATATTTTATCTGATCAGTGATTCTAAAGGTCATTTTTAATTCAACAGTTTTTGAAATAACATTGGACCCTGCATTAATTAGTCTTTCTATCATATCACACCTCATAGAGTGGCGAGTCATGTGCCTCAGTTAAGAAAAATGACTTGTATATGGGTACAAAATGTTTAACAGGTCTGGATCTGTACCTGCTTGGTCCCCTCTTTAACAAACACAACACTTTAATATCTTTGTTTCCATATTGAAAAAAAGATTTAAAGCTAAACAGAAGTAATGAAAATAAAATTTCCTTTCTCACAAAGTAAGATTTTAGACAATTCATTTTTGAGACAAAAAGAGGTGTCCATTTAATGTTTACATGCTAATGTGAGTAACAAGCTGTGAGCCTCATATGTAAGGGTTTTATTTTTTGCAGACATATTGCATTATTTTTCAACATTATCTCCTTCAGTATCTATACACTTTTGGCAGCGATGTTTAGGAGCCTCAATGCCACTTCTAAAGAAATTCTTTTCTTGACCGTTCAGAAAAGTCCTCCACTGCAGGTATGACGTCATCATCTGACTGAAATTGGGTAATGGAAATGGCATTTATCAATTTTGGATATAGATGAAAGTCTGATGGAGAGAGGTCAGGCAAACAAGGCCAATGTTAAATCAAATTTGTTAATGGCAGCCATGGCAATGACAGACTTGTGAACAGGGGCATTGTCCAAGTGCAACAACACTCATTTACCAAGATTCCTGTGGCACTGGAGTTTAATATTTTTCCTTAACTGCCTAAGAAGTGGTGCATAACAGGTGCCATTGATTGTTTGTCTCTTTTGCAGATAATCTACCATCAGAATACCATCAGCATCCCAAAAATCTGAGGTCATAACCTTTCTAGCTGATGGAAGTCTTTGCCTTCTTTGGTGGGGGTGAACCCTCTTTAGACTGTCATTTGGCCTCTGGGGTGAAATGATGGGCCCATGCTTTATCCATAGTTACAAACCTCTGCAGAAAGTTGGTATGATTTGATCTATAATGTTCAGATTAGCAAGCAGGAATGTCTGTTTGGTGTGCTTCTGATCAACTTTCAAAAGTCTTGGTACCCAAAGTGTTGAGAGCTTTCTCATTGAAAGATCTTCTGTAAGAATGGAATGTAACTCAGTACTGGCTAGGTATCTCTCTGAAACTTGCCTGTCAGCCATAACAATGGGAAATAAACAATGTTATGCTCAAAGATAAATTTTTGTATGAAAATTACAGCAAAATTAACATCCAAAGGGAGAGATGTGACACCCATTTCAGTAAAACACCTCAAGAAGCTTCCTTCCATGAAAAGCATTTGATTCTACAAGACCTGGGTGTTAAGAAGATTTTTTTAATTCTGAGTCAATTTGACCCCTTTTGGCCCTGCCCATCAGCCCCTTTGTGTCAGCCAGGATCAAGATATGCCTACCATCTTACTTTAGCAAAGTTTGAAATATTTCCAATGGAAATTGAATAAATCATGGTCAACAGTTATGAGCCCCACCCCCAGGCCCCTGTGGGTTGGAGACTGTATAATTCATTACTTTGGTTCATCTTTTGTCAGAGAAGGTTTCTGTAAAATTTATTGAAATCGGTTCAGCGGTTTTTGAGAAGAAGTCGAAATATTAAAAATTCGCAGATGCACTATGCCGGACAAAGGTGATCATAATAGGTCACCATGAGACCTCAGGTGACCTAATAAGTGATAATTAGAGGTGTTGGTCTACAAAATGTTTTAATGATTAATGTAAAAGTAGGAAGAGAACAATGAACCACATTCATGAGATTTGCTGATTATTTCTGAAGAAATATTACAAAACAGAAATAAAATCATATTAAAAATTTATTACATAATTTTGACAAATACATATAAACGACACATGAACACAAAAAACATTAAAAGAGAAACAGATCATGAAGTTTGATGTGTGGAAATCAATACAATGATTCTCCACAGTGCGACACACAGATTGCAGTTCTCATTCTGTTGTTAGAATTCTGTAAAGATGTGACTACTTTACACACCATCCATTTACCACAAGACAATTTTATGATAGTTAATGAAATTGACACAACTGTCCAAGGTCAGATCAAGGGTTTGTATTGATGAAATTCAGAATGGCTGTCAATTCTTAAAGTTGCATTGTCAACTAAAGTCAGCATCCAACAAGTAACTCCAGAAGATTTTGACTCAATGCGTAATTCCAAGAAATGATTCCAAGGTCACTCCAAGATTGTTGACTTTGTGGTGACCGCCGGCCTAATCATCACGCCAAGTCTTCGTCGTCGAACAGATCTTCAAAATCTGGAATGTAAACAAGGTTTTGTCACATTGATTATCAATAATGTTCACATAAGCCAACACAGAGAATGCTTTTATAGCTGTTGGGTTCGAAGACATTTCGCTTTCAGCATTACCATTAGCTAAATGGTATTCGAAACAACCTTCCAAGTACGATTCCGAGAAGACAAACTTGTTACTTGTTTTTACTGATATTTTATACTATTTCCTACGTACACAGCCTTACTCAGACAGCCTTACTTGGATATACTCAAAGAGTTCTATAATTTTACTATCCACAGGCAAGAAAATCAAACGTCAAATGAAGTTTTATCTGCAGACAAAATTCCTACATGGATTGGCTTTGAGTTAATTAGATTTGTCTCGTCCTTCAGAACTCTGAATCAATCTCCAGATTATCAAACGATTCACGATAGTGATTGGATGATCAGATGTAATCCATTATTTAAACATTTGATATAATGTTATGATAATCAATCATCCCATATACATTGTCTAAGAAATGGACAGCTGACATGTTTTTGCCCATGGTAAAGACACTTTAGAAGGGAAGTAATGGGCCTCCTGTATGTCGTTCAGTCATGTTGACACCAGCCACTACAATATGACCCCATCTCAAAATGACTCTTGCTGTTCACAGTATGATAAACCCAGTAAAAAGACAAACATTCATCATCTATACGTCAACATTTTCCTTATTTTGTAAAAGATAAGTTTCATAGCCTGCACATATACAATAACAATGCACAAGTTCCATCATTATATAAATACATTTACATGTTAATTCTGTATAGAGAGGTTTATCTTTAGGACGGAGCAGATAACAGCAATTTTCTAAGAAAGTACAATGTACACTGATCTTATTTGTCATTCAATGATTAACTATCATAAGGTACATACCACAATATATCTGATAATCAGTAGGTTGTAGTCATGTATGTCCAGTACTTAATGTAGATATACACATTCAAGCCATATACTAGTCATGTATGTCCAGTACTTAATGTAAATATACAAATTCTAGCCATATACTGGTCATGTATGTCCAGTACTTAATGTAGATATACAAATTCTAGCCATATACTAGTCATGTATGTCCAGTACTTAACGTAAATATACAAATTCTAGCCATATACTGGTCATGTATGTCCAGTACTTAATGTAAATATACAAATTCTAGCCATATACTAGCCATGTTTGTCCAGTACTTAATGTAGATATACAAATTCTAAATTCTAGCCATATACTAGTCATGTAGGTCCAGTACTTAATGTAGATATACAAATTCTAGCCATATACTAGTCATGTATGTCCAGTACTTAATGTAGATATACAAATTCTAGCCATATACTAGTCATGTATGTCCAGTACTTAATGTAAATATACAAATTCTAGCCATATACTAGTCATGTATGTCCAGTACTTAATGTAGATATACAAATTCTAGCCATATACTAGTCATGTATGTCCAGTACTTAATGTAGTCAATACAAATTCTAGCCATATACTAGTCATGTATGTCCAGTACTTAATGTAGATATACAAATTCTAGCCATATACTAGTCATGTATGTCCAGTACTTAATGTAGATATACAAATTCAAGCCTTATACTAGCCATGTATGACCAGTACTTAATGTAGATATACAAATTCTAGCCATATACTAGTCATGTATGTCCAGTACTTAACGTAAATATACAAATTCAAGCCATATACTAGCCATGTATGACCAGTACTTAATGTAAATATACAAATTCTAGCCATATACTAGTCATGTATGTCCAGTACTTAATGTAAATATACAAATTCTAGCCATATACTAGTCATGTATGTCCAGTACTTAATGTAGATATACAAATTCTAGCCATATACTAGCCATTCTAGCCATATACTAGTCATACAGTAAATGTAGATATAAATAGCCATATATAGTCCAGTACTTAATGTACATATACAAATTCTAGCCATATACTAGTCATGTATGTCCAGTACTTAATGTAAATATACAAATTCTAGCCATATACTAGTCATGTATGTCCAGTACTTAATGTAAATATACAAATTCTAGCCATATACTAGTCATGTATGTCCAGTACTTAATGTAAATATACAAATTCTAAATTCTAGCCATATACTAGTCATGTATGTTCAGTACTTAACGTAAATATACAAATTCTAGCCATATACTAGTCATGTATGACCAGTACTTAATGTAAATATACAAATTCTAGCCATATACTAGTCATGTATGACCAGTACTTAATGTAAATATACAAATTCTAGCCATATACTAGTCATGTATGTCCAGTACTTAATGTAAATATACAAATTCTAGCCATATACTAGTCTAAATGCCATATATGTCCAGTACTTAACGTAAAATGTAGCCATATATACAAATTACAAATTCTAGCCATATACTAGTCATGTATGACCAGTACTTAATGTAAATATACAAATTCTAGCCATATACTAGTCATGTATGACCAGTACTTAATGTAAATATACAAATTCTAGCCATATACTAGTCATGTATAGCCATATACTAGTCATGTATGTCCAGTACTTAATGTAAATATACAAATTCTAGCCATATAATGTAATTCTAGCCATATACTAGTCATGTATGATATACAAATAGCCATATACTAGTCATACAAATATCAAATTCTAGCCATATACTAGTCATGTATGACCAGTACTTAATGTAAATATACAAATTCTAGCCATATACTAGTCATGTATGTCCAGTACTTAATGTAGTCAATACAAATTCTAGCCATATGCTAGCCACGTATGTCCAGTACTTAATGTAGATATACAAATTCTAAATTCTAGCCATATACTAGTCATGTATGTCCAGTACTTAATGAAGATATACAAATTCTAAATTCTAGCCATATACTAGTCATGTATGTCCAGTACTTAATGTAGATATACAAATTCTAGCCATATACTAGTCATGTATGTCCAGTACTTAATGTAAATATACAAATTCTAAATTCTAGCCATATACTAGTCATGTATGTCCAGTACTTAACGTAAATATACAAATTCTAGCCATATACTAGTCATGTATGACCAGTACTTAATGTAAATATACAAATTCTAGCCATTTACTAGTCATGTATGTCCAGTACTTAATGTAAATATACAAATTCTAGCCATATACTAGTCATGTATGTCCAGTACTTAATGTAAATATACAAATTCTAGCCATATACTAGTCATGTATGTCCAGTACTTAATGTAGATATACAAATTCTAGCCATATACTAGTCATACAAATTCTAAATTCTAGCCATATACTTGTCATGTATGTTCAGTACTTAACGTAAATATACAAATTCTAGCCATATACTAGTCATGTATGACCAGTACTTAATGTAGATATACAAATTCTAGCCATATACTAGTCATGTATGTCCAGTACTTAATGTAAATATACAAATTCTAAATTCTAGCCATATGCTAGTCATACAAATTCTAAATTCTAGCCAAATACTAGTCATGTATGTCCAGTACTTAATGTAAATATACAAATTCTAAATTCTAGCCATATGCTAGTCATACAAATTCTAAATTCTAGCCATATACTAGTCATGTATGTCCAGTACTTAATGTAAATATACAAATTCTAAATTCTAGCCATATACTAGTCATACAAATTCTAAATTCTAGCCATATACTAGTCATGTATGACCAGTACTTAACGTAAATATACAAATTCTAGCCATATACTAGTCATGTATGTTCAGTACTTAAGGTAAATATACAAATTCTAGCCATATACTAGTCATGTATGTCCAGTACTTAATGTAGATATACAAATTCTAGCCATATACTAGTCATGTATGTCCAGTACTTAATGTAAATATACAAATTCTAGCCATATACTAGTCATGTATGTCCAGTACTTAATGTAAATATACACATTCTAAATTCTAGCCATATACTAGCCATGTATGTCCAGTACTTAACGTAAATATACAAATTCTAGCCATATACTAGTCATGTATGACCAGTACTTAACGTAAATATACAAATTCTAGCCATATACTAGTCATGTATGTCCAGTACTTAACGTAAATATACAAATTCTAGCCATATACTAGCCATGTATGTCCAGTACTTAACGTAAATATACAAATTCTAGCCATATACTAGTCATGTATGTCCAGTACTTAACGTAAATATACAAATTCTAGCCATATACTAGTCATGTATGTCCAGTACTTAATGTAGATATACACATTCTAAATTCTAGCCATATACTATACTGTGCATAAATATTTCAAATTGCAACCTAAAACTTGGGTACCTTTAGCTCCAGTACAATGATATTGTCCCGTACGGATTGATCTATTTACTGAAGTCAGTGATAGGTTGTTTAATCTCTCATGATCTATAATCAATAGTGATTGGTTGTTTAATCTCTCATGATCAATAATCAATAGTGATTGGATGTTTAATCTCTCATGATCAATAATCAATAGTGACTGGATGTTTAATCTCTCATGATCAATAATCAATAGTGATTGGATGTTTAATCTCTCATGATCAATAATCAATAGTGATTGGTTGTTTAATCTCTCATGATCAATAATCAATAGTGATTGGATGTTTAATCTCTCATGATCAATAATCATTAGTGATTGGTTGTTTAATCTCTCATGATCAATAATCAGTAGTGATTGGATGTTTAATCTCTCATGATCAATAATCAATAGTGATTGGTTGTTTAATCTCTCATGATCTATAATCAATAGTGATTGGATGTTTAATCTCTCATGATCAATAATCAATAGTGATTTTCTATGATTGATTATGGTCTTAAGTTTACAATAAATTTAGTTTGAAGAGTGATTAAATGCTACACCATTTTTCCTATTTTAGAGAATGAAATAAATTTATAGAAATAACAGCAATCAAAAAAGCAATAGCACCTGTTATTTCATGACTTCCACAAAAATGTCATTTCAAATTTTGTATCGAGTCTCGGC